AAAAAAAAAAAAAAAAATCAGACCGGGCACAGTGGCTCATCCTTGTAATCCCAGCACTTTGGGAGGGCGAGGCAGGCAGATCACGAAGTCAGAAGTTCAAGACCAGCCTGTCCAATATGGTGAAACCCCATTTCTACTAAAAAATACAAAAATTAGCCAGGCATGGTGGTACATGCTTGTAGTTCCAGCTACATAGGAGGCTGTGGCAGGAGAATCGCTTGAGCCTGGGAGGCGGAGGTTGCAGTGAGCCAAGATTGTGCTACTGCACTCCAGCCTGGGCAAGAGTAAGACTCCATCTCAAAAAGGAAAATCATAAGTGAAAATAGAAGAATCCCTAAAAGAGAACTCGAGGTGTGTGGACCAAAGAGCTATAACAACTTGATCCATTAATCAGAAATAGAGGTGACTGTGATGCCCAGAGGAGGCCCATGCATGTTGCAAACCTTTCTCTTTCCCGCTTGTTCTCTTCCCACTTAGCTAATTTCAACCAACAAAAATAATCTTCAATTTAAATAATCAGTTTGCTTGCATTTGCATAGTACTTTATATTTTTCAAGTTACTTTTGTGTATTCTATCCCTTAAACACCGTAACAATCCTATGAGCTAAGTGGCATTATCCCCAGTTTACAAATGAGGAAACTAAACCGAAAAATCAGGCACCCTTTGTGAGGGCACAGAGCCATTAAATAGCAAAACCGAGTCCAGCTAGAGCTAAGGTCTCTTGAGGCTGTCCAGTGCTTGTTTGATTCTTGGCCTCTCATTTCCTCCACTCATTTATTCAACAAATATTTAGTGAGTGCTTTCTGTGCCCTAGGCACTGAAGACACAGTGGAGAGAAACACAGACCTGGTTCTAGCCCTCATGGAGTAATATAGTAGGAAGACAATAGAAGATAAAAACCACACAGCCTCAGCATTTAATCTGAAAAAATATACACCTCCCCTTAGTATGTCACGTGCACCTAAAGAACTAGCTTAACAAAATACACCCCATGATTCCAGACACTCCAACACAGTCATTCAGCCTCTCCCTTTATCCCCTTTGAGCTACACCGATCCAACACCTTTGGTGCATTATAAGGAAGGACCCCTCACCTGATGTCCAAATTGGTTGCAAGGGAAGCCAAGGACCACCAGACGCCGGGGAAAGCGGCATTGCAGCTCGTTGAGCTGGGTGAAGTCCCGGGTGGTTGTGCCTCACAGCGAAGCCACATTCTCAATCAGCACGGCCCTCCCCCGAAACGTATTGAAATCTACCTTCTCCCCATCCAGGCTGATGGCACTGAGGTCGTAGAAGGACTTGGCAATGAAAGCCATGGTGAAGTGCAGAGTGAGCCCCGCAGAGAGGCCTGAGCCCACTTATGAATCTATCCGAGGGGTAGGGGGGAAGGAGGAGGGGGGAAGGAGGAGCCGGGAAGGAGGACAGAAAGGATCTAACAATGGAGCTTTGAGCGTCCCCAGGATGACTTAGCAAAAACAGGCCCCACCTGTAAGTACTGTTTGAACAAGGAGGTTGCTCCTCCTATTAACAGACTGAACAAAGCCGCCTCCCCGCCCCACCCTGCTGCAACCTGGGAAGAGCAAATTTGTTATCTTTGAACAGATGTGAATAATTCACTACTTACAGGAAACCAGAGCCCAAAAGGTCGAATGGGGAGGGGAAAAAAGGGAGGGAGAGATGCAGGATTGACTCGTACCTGCTCCATCAAGTTGTTCTCACTTGACACAGACATTTATTGAATGCCTGCCAAGTGTCAATCTCAGAATTGTGAGAGGGCAGGGTCTGCGGAGATCTGAAAGACAGGAGGAGAATTGAGGCTCTTGCCCACCTGACTCAGAGGACAACTGAAATATACATATTCCTGTTCATGTTCTCTTTGTTGCTTTCCTCCAGGACAAAATCAAAGGGACCCTTAGGAGAGTGTGTCATATTCTAGGGGGAGAAAATGGCTCTCGGTGTCCTAGCTTTTGCCAGGCTGAGGAGACAAAGTGTTTACCTTGAAAAGTCAGTGCGTGGTGCCACTTGTCCTGGAGAACATACCTGCCCCTGCCCCTGCACTGTACCATCTCCTATATTATATCCTCCACCTCCACCTGACCCCCAGCCCCCAAGTCGTGAGGATCAGTCTTTGCTTGGAGAATGGTGAAGAGGAGTCACAGAACAGGTGGGTAAACTTAGTGGATGAACTGCACCTACCTCCCTCTCAGACAGAGGTTCGGTCCCCAAGACTTTTCAGAGCGGGCTTGTGCTGGTCATCTTCCCACAGAAGAAAGTGTGGAGGGAGTTGAAGTTGCTGTGGTTCCAGACGCAGACAGGCCACCCTGATGCTTTCAACAGGACCCATACAGTGCATCGCAGGATGTCTGCTAAGGGCCATCTCAGAGACCCACCCCTGGAAGCCACTGAAACTGAAAAGCCCCTAAGCCACTTCATTCTTTGAAGCACCCACCAACTCAACAAATTACTTTTTTAAAAATGCCTTGATTTCTTCATCAGCAAAACTAGCAATGGGGCTTGACCTAGCTTTGAGATTTTACAGTGAAATTTCAATAACAAAGCAAATGTTTACTAGAGTGTTTTCACAGAGGCACATCCATTGGGAACTGTCTCCTTGAACAAAGAATAAGCAAGTCTGGGGAGCAGCTGGTCTTGAGAATCTGATTTGTTGAGATGAGATGAAGCAGCTACTCACCAAGGAGCGCAGAGCTGCCTTGCAGCTTTTCCATGGCTGTTCAAGTACACAAGGACCATGTGTCTCAGCTGGCTCCTCCCTAAAAACAATTTTCCATTACTTAAGTGGGTAGAAGGAGTGACAGGAAGCGTAGGGTGAAGTGTGTCCCCTGCTGAAGCCGGGTGGAGTTCCTAGAAGCAACCAGTGAGTCCCCACCAAGCCACTGAGTTGCAAGTCCTGGGCACTGACAGTGGGCAAAATTTTAACTTGCCAGATTTATGTGGATACCTAGAGCTTCCCCCTAGCACTCTTTGGGCCTCCAGAGACACCTCTTATTCTCAGTTCTTTTGCAAACCTTATTCAAGAAGGTCATAGAAGTTCCTGAGCTGCGGGGGTTCCCTCTTCATTAGGTACATGCCATCCCTTTTCTCCTGGTGTGACCTTGGACCCTTCAGACTCTCCTGGGGTTTTCACCTTTCCTAATGGAATACAATTGGTGAGGCTCTCCTAAAATATCTTTGTCTCCAGGTTTCCCTCAGACTGGCCTCGCTTTCCAAAAGCTTACAACTCCTGGCCTGCACTAGGCAGCGTGTGATTCTCGTGGCTTTCTGCGGGACAGTGCTAACTCTGGACACAGCACCGGCTTAGGCAGAAGGCCTATGTTGCTGGTTCTCAATTCTGACTGCAAATGAGAATTGTTTATAGGGACTTTCCTGGAGATGCCAAAGCTTTGCCCTCCAGTGATTCCAATTCAGTGGTTTCTAGCCACAATTATGCCACTGTTACTTGAGACCCTTAGGTACATCTTTAAGCTCTTTTTATTGAGACAAGCTCTCTCTGTCACCCAGGCTGGAGTGCAATGGTGCAGCTGTGGCCTCAACCTTCTGGGCTCAGGTGATCCACTGGCCTCAACCTCACAAGCCACCACACTCAGATAATTTTTTTTCTAGAGACAAGGTGTCACTATGTTGCTCGGGCTGGTCCCAAACTCCTGGGCTCAAGCAGTCCTCCTGCCTCAGCCTCCCAGGGTGTTGGGATTATAGGCATGAGCCACTGCACCTGGCAAAATCTTTAAGTTCTCTGAGCACCTGCTTCCTTGCCTGTGGGACATGGATAAGTAACCACCCTCCCTATCTCACATGGTGATGGTTAGGGTCAGAAGAGTTGATCTATCACCAGTGCTCTGTAAGTATAGTGAAGACCTTAAGACTACTGTTACCCTCCATTGTCCTACTCCTTTCTTCATTCAGTCCTTATCCCCAATATTCTCCACCTCCATCAACTCCATATCCCAGAGTATGAAATACCTGCCCAGTCCTAAGATCCCAGTCTGCCTCTGCTACCCCGAGGTATCCAATCACAAACCTGAAAGATTATCCAGTCCCTCCTCAAAGCCTTTAGGAAGACCTGTTCCAGATCTACCCAAACAGATGAGACCCATTTGACTTTAAAACCTGCTCAGACACAGACATTTGGCATCCTCTCAATAACAGTGTTTCATCTTATTTCTGCAGCGTGAGCTCAATGCAGGGCAATGGGGCTTTGCATTGGGCCTCCCTGCAGGTGGCGCTAGGGAAGGTACAGAAGGGAAGACAATGTTTGCTGCTTCCGTGGTCACTCTACTGCAGGTGCCTTGCTTCTGAAGCTGCTTCTGCCAGCAATGCCTCTCTCCCTCCCATATCACTGCCAGGGTCTGATGTCACCCACCTCCCTAGTCCCAGTGTGATGTGAAACCTACCCCCAGGGACTCATCCAGACAGCCACACCTGTGGTTTGAAATAGTCTTTATTTTGTAAACATCTGTGTTTAAAATAGATGAACCCTGCTTACAATTCATATATGGACCCAAGACACAGTACACGAAGTTCACCCGTCACAGGGAGATAGTGGGGGCTCAGGAGCAAGTGGCGTGCCTGGGGCTGGGTGGAGTCTCAAGACAGCAGGTGCAGAGGTGGTGACGAGTAAACAGGCCAGCAAAGACTGCTCAACAGTCTGGGCCTCAAGACAGGCCTCAGGCCACCAGAAGTTTAAGGTGAGCATGGCTGCACCCTAAAATCTGAATTCTCCTTCTGCTCCCATACCTTTTCCCAGCCATGGCCCTGTGGATAGGGCTTATCAGTCTATAGAATCCCGATTCCATGTTTTTCCTTCCAGAACCCCTAGGGTACAGTACAAATATAGTCCTTCTTTCCTGAGGGGGCTAGGAGAGACAGACAATGAATGGCACCCTGCCTGATCTTCAGGGAATGCTGCAATACTGGCCCACAAGTTGGAGCCACTGCCCAATATAACTTCTTAAGTCCCTGGCTGAAGACAGACTGAGGGCTGACATCCCCCACCTCCCTAGTCCTAGTGTGATGTGACGTAGGTCTTGATACGCAAGGAGTCCATCCTCAAGGAAGCAACTCCAGCCATAGTCACAGCTTCCTCCTAGAGTCAGCTCTGTTTCTCATTAGCCAGTGATTTATAACTCCTGCTCTCCTTTGCTTTCCACTATCTAATCTATACCCCGTCCCTAAGTCCTGAGCCACATTCTCCTGCTGTTTCCTGGTTTGGTGGTGCTACCCCCACCCCTTTTTGGAGGAATAAGGAAGTGGGGTTCTTATCCTTCACGTGTGTGTGTCCTTAGTTGATTAAATGCTCAGTACCTAGTTCTTTGTTTTGGTGGCAGCCACGCAATGCAGCTAATGTGTGGCTTAAGAACGACCTTCTTCCTAGGCCTTGACCACCTTGGGAAGGTGGGGAGGAACCCCAGTAGGGCTGGTAAATTACTTGTTCCTTCTTTAAAGGGCCTCTACAAGCTACTCTTGGGCCATATGGGGTTAAAGAAACTTCCTGAACATAGCACTCTGGAGGAGGGAGTCCTCTTCCCTCCACCTGTAGCCACAGTGTGGTTGGCAAACCCTCAAGCCTATCAGGAGCTAGAAGGCAAGATGAGTGCTTGAAGGCTGAAAAGAACAGCACCAAGCGTTCTACCCAGGGCATTCCTTCTCTCTTCTTTTGAAGGCTTCGCCCTTCTCCCATAAACTCTGGGTCCCAGGAGAAGCTTGATTGCTGAAGGCTGGGCTTAGTCCTCTGCCTGGGAGTCTGAGGAAACAAACGCTCTTCTTACCTAAGAAATGTAAGAGGGGGCCCAGAGGCCCTGCTGCTGCTACGTTCCCCTCTGCCGTGCAAACTGCTATCCCTGGCCAGCTCTTCCTTGCTCTTAACCTGATACATAGGAGCTAGTCCTTCATTTCCAAATGCTCTCCTTTCTGGCATGCATGGTTGGCCTGACAGTGTCACTGACCCCAGGACGCTCCTTGCCCCTGGGGTACCCACAGACCTTGGTCCACACCTTTAAATTCAGGAGCCAGGTGGAGAGAGATTGTGTTCATGCTGCATGGGAGGTAGAGAATGGAGGTGACTTTGTATCCCTGCCACCCCTCATTTTGTTTCCTTCTCTGAAGCATCTGCCTCCGAGCTCAGTTCCCCGAAAAGGCAGGTGGGCAGCCAAGCAAGGGCAAAGCTCTGGCGGGGGAGTAGGAGGAGGTAGGGCGGCCCCAGGCTCGAGGACTTCCCAGTTGCCGATTCCTTCCTGTCTCGATGCTCCACTCTCTCAGGTCGCTGGGGAGGCAGGCCCATGGCACATGAGGGACAGTGGGGAGGGGAGGAGGAAGCAGCACCCTGTAGCCTTTGGTCCACCCACGAGGCAGGGTGGGGGGTTCTTCCTGGATCCAAGGGTGGAACTGCCCCACGAGCCTGGGTCCATCCCCTCAGACAGGTTGGGAAGGAAGGAAGGAGCGAGCTGCAGCAGCTGCCACACAGCAAGACACATGGGGAGGGGGGTGAGGGGCTTTGATACGAAACACACTGGAGGGGAGGGGTCAGAGAGAGAGAAGTGGGGGAGAGAGGAGAAGCAGAGAGGACACATGATGCGCGGAGAAAGGAGGAGCGGAAAGTGGCCTGGACTCCAGCCTCAGCTGTTGTCTGGGGGTGCGGGGTGGTGAGCCGGTGCTTGCGGCATGTGGTGGGGTCGTAGCGGGCCTTGGCTGGGGAAACAGGCTGAAGACCACTCCAGAGTGGACGGGCTGAGGGCAGGGGCTGCTTGAGATGACAGTAGAGCCGCTCTTAGGGCCAGGCAGGGGGAATAGCGGCTACTGATACTCAGCAGGGTCATCACACGAGAGGACAGTGGCAGAGCAAAGCCCCGGCTCCCCTGTCTGCCCACGGGCCTCCTGAGGGAAGAGGGGTGTCATGTGGGGTGCCCCACACAGGACTCTCAGCACCAGCAGCTTTTCGAAGAGTTCGCTGGGCCCTCAGGTTTGCCCTCCTCCTCCTCCAGCTCTGCCAATGCCAACTCGTTGCTGGCACGCATCCGGAGGCCTTCCAGCTCCTTCCTGTGGGCCTGCAGCACCAGCTCCGTCAGACGCGTGAACGACTGGAAACCAAAGGGCACAGGTTAGTCCAGCGTCTCCTCCTCTCCCCTGGCAACCCTGCAGCTGCCCAAGGGGTAAGGCCTCTCTTCTGGCTCCTTCTCCCACCTCTGCTGGACTCAGCCCGAGAGTGTGGGTGCCCGGTTGCCAGGCTCTCACCTCTTTAATGTTGAGGTTGGTGCAGGCACTTGTTTCGTAGAAGTCCATGCCATACTCCTTCGCCAGCTGCAAGAGAAGGACACTTCTGAAAGAGAATCAGTAAGGCAAGGGAGGGGCCCACACAAGCAGGCACAGACATCTGCCACTGCACGAACAACCGTGCTGTTGTGATGATTGCTCAGAAGAGACAATTTCTCAGATGGGACTGGGAGCTCCAAGACAGGGTAGCAGCCAATGGGGGAAGATCCTCCACTCATACACTTCTCCGTTCTTCCAGCTGCCACCCACACCCCCCAATGCAAAATCATATATCAGGAGACAAAGACACCATACATTGTGGCAGGTGGCATCCTCATAAAAAACATGGGCTCTGGAGTCCCACAGCCCCAGACCTGAATACCAGCACTGCCACTGATGGCTAGCTGTGCAATCTTGGGGAAGTTGTTCATTCTCTGTAAGCCCCAGCTTCATCTTCTGTTAAAGAGACTGAGAGTGTCTACCATTCATGGTTGTGGGATGATTAAATGGGTCGTACACCTAAAAACACTTGCCTTAGCACAGTGCCACACATAGTGTGCTCGATAAATGCTATCCTAGTAAGCATTTCCTCTACTTTCAAATTTGCCAATGACCATGTCTGATTTTTGATACCAAACAATCAATTTAATTTTAAGTGCTAATGGAACACTACTGACTGAGGAGAGAGGGAAAAACCCTTGAGGTCTATGGACTGGGTGGACAACTTGTCTCAGAAATACCAATCTTAGCTGGGCACGGTGGCTCATGCCTGTAATCCCAGTACTTCGGGAGACCAAGGCAGGTGGATCACCTGAGATTAGGAGTTCGAGACCAGCCTGGCCAATATGGCAAAACCCTACCTCTACTAAAGATACAAAAAAATTAGCCAGGTGTGGTGGCATGCACCTATAATCTCAGCTATTTGGGAGGCTGAGGCAGGGGAATTGCTTAAACTTGGGAGGTGGAGGTTGCAGTGAGCCGAGATGGCACCACTGCACTCTAGCCTGGGTGACAGAGCGAGACTCCATCTCAAAAAAAAAAAAAGAAAAGAAAAAAAGTAAAAGTATGACCAATCTTTCTTTCGGCGCTCTGGGAGGATGGTCTCCCTTCATGCTTGGACATTCCCTCAGTGCCATCCTCCTATCCCTTCTGCCCCCATGGCTTCTCCAACTGTGGCTCTTAGTCTCCTCATTTGACTCCCTGTCTCTTTCCTGGGTAAGAAGGACAGGAATGTGGGGTGGGCTGGGAGATCATTTCCTGACTGTAACATGGTAGTTGCCCTGGATGCCGTCAGAGAAGAAGTTGACAACTTTAAGTCCTTCATCACTAACACGGGGATGATCTCTTAAGCAGAGGGCAATCCTGCATGTGGGGACCTAGGACCTGGATCTGGGAGAGTTGCTGCCCATGAGGTCTTTGTTTCTGGATGGACCCCAAATCACTGTCCTAAAGCCCACAGAGCAAGCCTTCTGAGGATGGCCGCTCCCCCAGAGCCTTGGGGTACTGGGGATGTGTGGGAGGACCTGCCACTGGGGAACACAGCCCTGGGTCCCCGTACTTGGGACTGGCCCTGAAGGCCCAGCAGAGGACCCGGGGTGGACTTGCCTGTTCCTTCCACTTACCTGCTGCCCTTGCTCTCTTCCCACCTGCCGTTTCTGCTCCTCGTCGGCCTTATTCCCGATAAGGATCTTCTGGACACCTTCTGGTGCATACTAGGGACAAAGGATGGGCAGAACGGCCAGTGAGTGCTGCCCTCCCCCCCATTTTCCCCACATAAGTCTGCACTGCCTCCAGCCCACTACCTACTCCAGAGCCCCAGGGACAGGGTGGGCTGACTGGATGCAGATGCCAGGCTCCGCCAAGTGCCATGCCTGACCTCAAGGATATCATGGGGACAGCTCAGGGTAGAAGACACTCTAAGACTGGTGCTTCCTTGGGTTAGACTACTGGTATCAGAGCTTGAAAGGACATTGGATGTAAGTCCAGCCCTCATTCTACAGGAACTGGGGACTCAGAAGATTCAAATGGCTGGCCCAAGGCTCCACAGCTACTGTGCAGAGCCAGGACTAGATCTCCATCCTGCAACTCTACCTGGTCCCAATTTCAGGAAAAAAGCTGCTCACAGGGCAGACTTGGAACTAACTCATTTCTGGAGAAGACACAGCCATGGAGGCCTAGGAGGGTATGGAGAGTGAGGGCATGGCAGCCTCGCCTTCTTCTCCATGTCTTACTCACCCAGAGGTCTTCCTCCAGGGCTGTGGAAGGCAAGGGTTCCTGGAAGCATTTGCTCGCCCACCCTGAGAGCTCCGGCCCTCCCATCTGGTCCTCGCCTTGCCTTCCCCGGTGGGGCACCCTCTCCCCACCCCAGCAGTGAGGTAGCATCTCCTACCTCGTCCACGTCACTGACCCACTTCATGATGTGCTGGTAAGAGCGCTCGCTGCTAATGTCGTAGACCAAAAATATCCCCTGAGAGAGAGAAATAGAGAGATGGAGGCGGTGAGGCACACAGAGATGCAGTCATGGGGCCAAAAGGGGCTGTGGAACCTTAAAGGTTGGGTCCCACTCTCCCCTCTCCCTGCTCAGCATCCAGAAATGTCTCCTCTCTCAGACCCACTACTGCTGCCTCCCAGGCCCATCACATAACTCTAGAGAAGGAAGGCACCACACGCTTTGACCCAAATCTTTGACCCAGGATGGATGGTGGAAGTCAGGGGTAAGGGTGGGGGCCTGCCTGTAGCGAGTGAGCCATGAACAACGGACAGATGGATGGACGATCAGTGAACAGTTGAAAGACTGCCCTGTGCTCCCTCAAGCAGGCGATCTGTGTTTAGGGGATCTGTGGCACAGACATCTCAAATACCCAGAGCTGCGAGTGTGGGTGGCAGCTTCTCACTTTGAAACCCTGAACGTGGTGGCTTACCTGGGCCCGCCGATAGTACTGCTTTGTGATGGTCTGGTATCTCTCCTGCCCTGCGGTGTCCCTGCAGGAGAAAGCCAGTCTCTCAGAGAAGCAGGGACCATGGGAGCAGACAGGGAGGGGAAGAGCAGAGCTGGGAGACCCTGTACCCTTGCAGGAAAAACCAGGGGCTGCAGGGTGAAAAACCAGGGGTGTTTGGATCCAGCAGTCAGAGGCCTGGTGGTCTGTGCTGGTGCTGACCAAGCCTGTAGGGCCTTGGCCCCTCCTGCCAACTGCCCTACTGGCAGACACCAGAAGCCACAGCCAGAACAGGCCTTGGACAGCTCTTTGGCATCTGGCCACTATGGCCAGATTTGGTTGTATGAGAGTTGATCGGGGGATGCTGCTACACCCCCAGCCCCTTTGAGACCTCTGAAGGCAGTGCCCATACTACTGTGGAATTGAGAGGGAGCTCTAAACCCTGGCAAAGGGAGTGCTTCTCTCAGGCAGAGAGCCACAGTGACACCCTCTGCTACTTGGGAAAACTGTACCATGCTGCCCCAAGGAACTCTGTTGGGGTCTCACCCTAAATGATGAGGTGTGTAGCCTCCCTCCTTCCAATCTTAACACAGTGTGGCACAGCCCAAGGGCAAAGCCTAATTCTGAGGCAGATTCACAATGGTTAGTGTGCTAATTCCTGCCCTTTGGTGCTTGTAGTCAATCCCATGAAGTTTCTTAGAGATTGGAGATTAGGCTCATAGGAAGAGATGGGCTTCTGAGACTTCTCTTCTCTCCATCACAGAGGTGGCCAGTTATCTGCTAGGTGAAGCCTAGGGATTTTACACATGACAGTGGCAGCTAAAGAGCAGCCCAAGGTCCTCTCCTCCTAAATCTGCCTCCTCTTCCTCCTCCCCAACTCACCAAATCTGTATCCGCACTTTGATGCCGTCTACCTCTATGGTCTTCATCTTGAAGTCAACCCCTGGAGAAAGGAAGAAAGCAAGAAAGTTAGAGAGGGTGCCCACTGAGAAATGAACAAGGCCCAGGTAATCACACTTGAAAGGTTTCCTTTCGGTTTAATTTGACAAACGGATGAAGTAAGGTAAAGGCCTTCTTTAAGCAGAAACTGATCCTAAGGAAGTATCTGAAGCTTTGAAAGGGGCTTTCCTTCCTCCCTGAGCTGAAAGTTGCCAAAAGTAAAGGGCCTGGAGGACCCAGGAGGAGACAGAGTGAATCTGGGGAAATCTACTTCATCACTGCCTTACTCAAAAGACTTAAAACATGTCTCGTTCTAGTCATGTGTGAAGTCTTCCTATTTATACTTCTGGAGAGAACGCTGCATTTATCCTTCCTGAAATTCTAATCTCTAGGAATAGCAACCCACATTATTTGTCTACTTTCTTCCCCCTCTCTCTGGCTTGTTAATAACTGGAAGGGGTCATAGTGTCGGACCATGGAGAGAGGAGGGCTGTTCCAACACATAATTGTACCTAAAGCCTCAGCACCCAGCGAAGGCCCACCAAAAAGAAGGCCTCATGCATCTCAGTTGCTGACTCACCCGTTTGCCCTAGGAGGCGTGATTGATGAGGAGGAGCATAGGCTTTGGCATCAGGCCTGAGCTTATCTCCTCACTCTGGCCACTCAAAGCTCACTGCTATGACATCAGGCACCTTGCCTCACAGCCTCAATTTCCGCCTCAGTAAATGTCTTCATCAGATATTACCAATATCTCAGAGGGTTGCTGAGGGGAGATGTCTTCATCAGACAATTCAGCTGCAGCTGTCATGAGCTAGGGTAGGGCTGGGTTAATGCAGGTGCTTGTGACTGTCAGAGGACCTGATGAAAAGGCAGTAGCATGGCGTGTCACTGAGGGAGGGAGAAGCAGCACAGAGCTCCCACGCTCCTCCAGCCCGTGGTTGGAGGAGCTAAGCTACCACAAGACGCAGGAAACACAAGGGATTTGGCAAACCCGTCCAGGGCAGAAACACATTGGAGAAATTTGCAGCAAGAGAAGTCAGCACCACCAGCAGCAGCCAGCTTGCCTCTGAGTGACAACAGAGAGATGAGGGGAGATGTTTTGCTCATTGTGCCTCTCCCCACCCCTAACTGTACCCAGCCACTGTGCCAGTGATTCAAGAGCTATGTCTGGTAGGCTAATTAAGCTTCCATCTTTGTGTACTCCCTGGAGCAAGGTCAGAAGTGGGCATGATCAGCCACGGTTTTCAGATGGGAACACGGTGGAGTTCTGAACCGTCTGCCACCAGCGGCACTGCCTGGCCCAGAAGGCCTGAAGGTGCCAGGATCCCCATCACCACTGCCACTCTACGTCAGTTATTTGCCAAATGGGAGACATCTCCTCTTATCCGTGCTGTCCCCAGCTTTCTACAAACAGATTACATTTTGTCTCTTCCTTCCCACCATCGAGACCAATCGTCATTTAATTACAAGAGAAAAAAGATGCAGAATGGGCAACCTGAACTTAATCAAGTTGGTCAGACATGAATCATTTTTCGCCTGCCCAAGCTGATTCATATCCATTGAGCTGTACTTTTCCAAATGGGCAATGCCTGGCAGCCACTCTTCCATGTGTACAGAGAAAGAGTGAAGAGGAGGAGGGAAGAAGGAAGGAAGAAGGAGAGAGGCACCTGGCCTTGGGAGGCAGGAGTGTGCTTATTCCTGCCTGGATCAATGGTTGTCAGGCACCTGTTTCTCCCCAGTACCTGGCATAGAAGGGGATCAAGACATTGTTTCATGATATAGCACCTTCTCCCAAGAAGAATGAGAAATTTTGTCCAATTTGTAATCTACCTGGCTAGTCCTCACATTAGCCTAGCAAACCTGGCCAAGGACAGTGGCTTGTGCAAAGCTGTCACAAGGGAGATTGGAAGAGAGGAGGTTTGATTTCCTTTAACCCACAGACATTTACGGGAACTTCCTATGTGCCCTGCACCGTGCTCAGTGCAGACAGAGCAGTGAAAAAGACACGGCCCCTGCCCTGAGAGAACCTAGTGGGAAGGCAACGAGGGCTCAGAAAGGTCAGAGGCTAGGCTGGGTCAGCACAGCACGTGCAGATTCCAACACAGGTTTGTCTATGCCAGAGCCCACGCTGCCCCTTGTGCTGGTTCTTAGAGGAGAGAGAGAAGAGTCATGGGTAGTTGGCCAGGCATGGAAGCCCTAACTCTGTGGTGCTTGAGAAGGGCTTTGCTAAGAGAGGAACTTCCAATATTTTTTTGAGATGGAGTCTCACTCTGTTGCCCAGGCTGGAGTGCAGTGGCGCAATCTCGGCTCACTGCAATCTCCGCCTCCTGGGTTCAAGCGATTCTCCTCCCTCAGCCTCCCAAGTAGCTGGGACTACGGGCGCACACCACCACACCCAGCTAATTTTTGTATTTTTAGTAGAGATGGGGTTTCACCATGTTGGCCTTGATCTCCTGACCTCGTGATCCGCCCACCTTGGCCTCCCAAAGTGCTGGGATTACAGGCATGAGCCACTGCACCCGGCCTATGTTAAGGTACATTTTTCCCTGTGAGAGAAGAGGGGATGGAGGGAGAGGTGAAAGCAGGCAACTGTCCAAGAGACAGGACTGACAAAGAGATGGGAAATTCCATCAGAAGGGAGGCTAGGCAGTGACTCCTGACCTCCTTCCTCACTTCTTAGCTAGGTGGCTGGGGACCAATGCTGGGGAATTCTGGGGCTCACAGGACTCCCTGGTCTCACCCACACCCCACCATCTTGCAACCTAGGTCTCACTGGCCACCTGGGAACATTTGTTTTATTTGCCTTTTGGCTATCCGTGTGCATTAACACATGATAGAAGAAACAGGAGGGGGTGGGGAGTTGGGGAGAGATAGCATGGGGAAAAATGCCAGATATAGGTGAAGGGGAGGAAGGCAGCAAATCACACTGCCATGTGTGTACCTATGCAACTATCTTGCATGTTCTTCAAATGTACCCCAAAACCTAAAATGCAATAAAAAAAAGAAAAAAAAAGCAGAGTAAGTCTATGTCTTCTGAAGGAGTTTCCTTCCTCCCTCCCCACCATGCACCCTTTTTTAAACTTAAAAATGTTACCAGCCCAAGGATCTTCCAGAGGAATCTATTCCTTCCGCGCTCTGTTCCCACACAGCGTGGGCCTTCCACTGTGCCCACCTACCAGTCAGGCCCTGGCCCCAGTAACCCATCGTGGCTCCTTCCCTCTCCTTGTGTGGCTGTTGGTTTTTTCCACTGCTGAGCACTGCAGGACAAAGTCAACACGCTGGCCTTATTTAGGCCTCTCCAGGCGGAGGCTTTCTCACCCTGGCCAGCCCTCGCAGCTGCTTAGCAAACTGCTCATTCACATATGTGTTCACCTATCACTGTCCTCCCACTGGAGGCTTCAGGTCCAGGGCACCCCCTCGCCACCCCTGTGCTCTCAGCAGGATACCTTCTCCACTGTTTTATGGCCCAGATGAATGCCTTTCCTCTGAAGCCACCTCCTCTTTTCAGATTTCCCTCTGTTCTCTCTGCCTTCCCTCAGGGAAAAGTCCTCTATCCACATCTCACCTCATTTTGGTCCTCATCAGCCCCAGCTGGGTACACACCCAGAGAGTCGGCCCTTGTTGCATCGTTAGTATCCATGGGAAGAAGAGAGATTCTCCATCTGCCTGCAGTGGTTTCACATTCTGGCTCCTCTAAAGTAGCATTTCTCAAACTTCCAGGTGTACAAGAATCACCCAGCGATTGAGTTAAAATGCAGATTATGATCTGGTAGGCGTGGTGCAAGGCCTGAGATGCCGCAGGAAGCTCCCAGGTGAAGCTGATGCTGCTGTCCACATATCACTTAAGTAGCAAGCTGTTCTCGAAGCGTGTCCCTAGACCCGCAGCATCAGTATCACCTGGGACTTGTTAGAAATGCAGATTCTGGCCCCACGCAGTGGCTCATGCCAGTAATCCCAGTATCTTGGGAGGCTGAGCCAGGTGGATCACCTGAGGTCAGGGGTTCGAGGCCAGCATGGCCAACATGGCAAAAACCTGTCTCTAGTAAAAATACAAAAATTAGCTGGGGGTGGTGGCAGTCACCTGTAATCCCAGCTACTCAGGAAGGAGGTGGGGGGGCGTGGGGCTGAGGCCAGAGAATCTTTTTAACCTGGGAGGCGGAGGCTACAGTGAGCTGAGATTGTGCCAGCCTGGGCAACAGAGGAAGACTCCGTCTAAAAACAAAAACAAAAACACATGAAATGCCAATTCTTGGGCATTATAGAATCAGGCCCTCTAGGTGTAGGGCCCAGCAACCAGTTTCAATAAGCTCTCCTAGTGATTCTCACACATGCATAAGTTTGAGAACATTTGAACAAAAGCTTTGCACCTGAAGTGTCAAGAGAGGCAGCACAAGAGTTCTGTTTCTCAAGGTGTGCTTTGCAGAGCCTCAGCTTCAGAATCATGGGTTGATATTTAAAAAACCAAAAACAATGACCTTGACTTGCCTAGACCTACTGAATCATAATTTTAGAGTGAGGCCCAGAAACCTGTATTTTTAACAGCACTGTGGGTGATATTAGAAGACGGTTCAAGAGCTATATATGTCGTGGAAGAGACATCCATTGGCCTGGAGTCAGAAACAGCTCGTCCAAATCCTGGGTTTGGCACTTGCCTTGTAACTTCAGGCAAGTCTTAACTCCTAGCTTCAATTTTCTTTTTTTTTTTTTGAGATGGAATCTCAGTTTGTTGCCAGGGATGGAGTGTAGTGGTACAATCATAGCTCCCTGCAGCCTCCATCCTCCCACCTCAGCCTCACCTGGGACTTGTTAGAAATGCAAATTCTGGCCCCAGGTGGGACCCAAGCAATCCTCCCACCTCAAATCTCTTAGTAGCTGGGACTACAAGCATGCACCACCATGCCCAGCTAATTTTTTTTTTTTTATTTTTTGTAGAGATGAGGTCTCCCTATACTGCGTAGACTAGTCCTGAACTCCTGGGCTCAAGTGATCCTCCCACCTCGCCTTCCCACAGTGCTGGGATTACAGGCATGAACCTCTGCACCAGGCCAATTTTCCTATGTGTGGCAGGAGAATACCTCTCGCTTCCCAAGGGCTGTGGTGGGATAATTAAACAATATCTGTGAAGCACTGGCCCTGGTAGTTTTCTCACTCCCACCCTCCCTCTGCCAAATAAAGGCTTCCTGGGGAGCAGTCAGGAAAACCAGCCCAGAGAACCCTGAAGGGATTATAAAGTCCCTGCTATCCAGCTGCCCTTGCTAGCCAAGGGACTACAGTATCAGCAGCATCAGAGAGTGAGAAATGCATTCTCAGGACTCGCCCAGCCCTACTCAATATAGTGCTTGTCTTTATAGCACACCCCTGAGCTATGGAATCCCTCAGCTCTTAAACCAGCCCCATGAAGTAGGCAGGAGTGGGTATGATCATTGTGAGCCACAGGGAGGCCAAGTAACTTACTCATGCTTTCACATCCCACAGCTGAGCCGGACTGCAAAGCTGGTGTCTTAAAACCTATCCACGGTGTCCTTCAGTCTGCCAGGGGCTTCTCAACCCTGGGAGGCTGAGGAATCTTACCGCCTGTTCCCGCACACCCTGGCATACCCAATGCCTTTTCTCTTTTTTCCTGACGGAGTCTTGCTCTGTTGCCTAGGCTGGAGTGCAATGGCGCGATCTCAGGTCACTGCAACCTCCACCTCCCAGGTTCAAGCGATTCTCCTTCCTCAGCCTCCTGAGTAGCTGGGATTACAGGCACGTGCTACCACACCTGGCTAATTTTTTGTATTTTTAGTAGAGATAGGGTTTCACTGACATTATGTGGCGTCTGGAAGTGAGGCAGGGGCACATGAGGAGAAGCCTGCCGCTATAGTCTGAAAGTCTGTTTTCCTCCAAAATTCCCATGTTGAAATTTAACCCGCAGTACAGTGCTGGTGGGAGGTGAGGCCTTTGAGAGGTGACTCAGTCATGATGTTGGAGCCCTCATGAGTAGGATTGATGCCCTTATAAAAGAAACCTGAGGAAGCCTGTTCCCTTTTCTGTCACAGAGCGTCAGGCTTCACCAGACGCTGAATCTGCTGGCACCCCGATCTTGGACTTCCCGTCGTCCCAAACTGTGAGCAATACATTTCTCTTGCTTTCAATTACTCTGCTAAAGGCATTTTGTTACAGCAGCCCTGACTGACTGAGACACTCACCATAGCCTATTTTCAGGGAGGTCCTTGCTCCTTGCCATGGTTCATGATTCCAGTAAGTCCAGATTCATCACACTGACAGTGTCTCTACAAGACAGTCTACTTCCTTTCTTGGGTACAGAAAGAAATAGGGCACAGAAGTGTTAAGGAAGAAGCAAACCACTTCTACACGGCTCCAGGAGAGGCTCTCGGAGATGCTGGGAGCCCCAGGAGAAAGTCAGAAAGATGGGCCCTTTCCCAGCCAGGTGCCCAAAGCACGGAGAGCAACTCATTGTTTTTCCTGGCACATCAGATATGCCCATCATGGTCCCTGCCACACCCGGTGCCACCCAGTGTCCCTTTCTGGCTAGAACAGCGGGGCCCCAAACCTCTGCTTAGGGAAGCAGCGCTGGATGCAGCATGTTCTTTATGGTGAAGCAAGTTTAGACTGGACCATCAATAGGCTTGCTGGTGACCCACAGGGTGACCTGGCCAGCTGAGGCAAGGGAGCTTAGCTAAGCCAGTCAAACCAGCTCGCTCCAGGCAGGGCAGAGGGGACCAATCAGTTGCTAATGAGGGAGCATGAGGCAGACAAACATGCAGAAAGAATTGCTTGAGCCCAGGAGTTCCAGACCAGATGGGCAACAAAGTAAGACCCCATCTCTACAAAAAATTTAAAAAAAAAAATAGGCGTGATGGTGTGCACCTGTGGTCCCAGCTACTTGAGAGGCTGAGGCAGGAGGAGCAGAAAGAAGCAGAGAGGCCTAAAGATGATGAACATGCTGACCGGAGTTGGGGCTGAGGACACTAGATCCTAGCACAGCCACAGGTCCAGATCAGACTCCAAGTTCAGCCCATGGGTATCCACAGACCACGTGCCCCTTTTCTTAGTGACACCTGAGAGCGCCTCAGGATTGGCCACTGCTGCCAAATGGCTCCCCTAAGCTGGTGGGCAAGATGCTTCAACAAAGGGGCTAAAAGAAGGACCCCTAAACCATCTCTCCCTGCTCCTTACTGCCCCGTTTTTGTCTTCTAGCCTCAGCTACACAAAAAGAACCTAAGGGGCAGAGAATATATTTTGTGGCTGACCAAGTATTTGTTTTGTTTGCTTGTTTTTTAAATCTGTCCCCATGCCAGCACAGTGACAGGCATAAGGAAGCAATTCCAAAACAAATTCTAAATAAATAAATCGGCCAAGCACAGTGGCTCACACCTGGTAATACCAACACTTTGGGAGGACAAAGTGGGAGGATTGCTTGAGCCCAGGAGTTTGAAACCACATTGGGCAACAAAGTGAAACCCTGTCTCTACAAAAAATTAAAAACAAACAAAAAAACCAGGTATGATGATGTGCACCTGTGGTCCCAGCTACTTGGGAGGCTGGGGCAGGAGGATCACTTAAGTCTGGGAGGTTGAGGCTGCATTCCAGCCTGAATGACAGAGCAAGACCCAGAGAAAGAAAGAAAAGAAAAGAAAAAGAATTAATTCCATGAGGGGAATACCTGGCATCCCAGAGAGCATAAGAAGGGCTGTGTGCCTGAGGCTTGGCTGGCTATGGTGGCTTATGCCTGTAATCCCAGCACTTTGGGAGGCTGAGGTGGGCAGATCATGATGTCAGGAGTTTGAGACCAGCCTGGCCAACGTGGTGAAACCCTGTCTCTACTAAAAGTACAGAAATTAGCTAGGCATGGTGACGAGTGCCTGTAGTCTAAGCTACATGGGAGGCTGAGGCAGGAGAATAGTTTAAATCCAGGAGTCGGAGGCTGCAGTGAGCCAAGACCATGCCACTGAACTCCAGCCTGGATGAAACGAGAGACTCTGTCTCAAAAAAAATTAAAAAAATAAAAAATAAAAAAATAAGGGCTGTGTGCCTGAGGCTTAAGAGCAGGGAGACATGTCCTGCCACCTGATGCCTCACAGACAAGAAAAGCTCCTCAGTGAGGTGAGGGTGCCATTCAACCATGGCATGAGGCAGCCCCAGACCCCATCCTCTTCCTGCTATGACCCTGGCTGTGTGGTCTCTGCCCCAGCAGCTGCTAGGCCACAACTGGAGCCCTAGAGTGCTGGGATAGCACTGCTGCTAGAGAACTGGGAGGACAGGCAGGGCCCTTCTCTGGGCACCGGGGACAGAGGCAGGACAGAGGGATGCGGCAGGGGAGACACCCGGCACCCACGTGGCTCCTAAGCTAGCTCGCCTGTGTGAGCAAATCGGAAGAACTTAGTGCCCCCTCCCCCGCCCCAGTGCAGCAGTAGAGGTGCTGTGATGCCTACAGAAAGGAGGCAGGGCACATCCAGACTAAAGAACACTCCTTCCCATCAATGTCTGCCTCTCTAGAAAGCCCTAGAAAGCATGGAGGAAGTATGGCTCAAGAAACGGAGTGGCCTGGCCATCAATAGCGCAACTGGGAGGCCAAGTTTGGTTCCAATCCTGCATTTATCACTAATTACCTGCATGGTGTTGAGGAAGCCAGTTAGTCTACCTTTGCCTCAGTTTCCTCACCTGTAAAGTGGGGGTGACAGAATTCTCAGAAAATTTTTCTGAAGATTATGAGGTAAGGTATAAAACCCGTATCACAGGGTCTGGCACACAGAGCTTTATTAAATGTTAGCAGAAGCAGCTGTCAAGCCCCCTTAGGGAAGGATGAGACTAGTGAGCCCAGAGCTGCAGGAGGGCGTATGGGAAGAGCTCTAGGATGTAGAAGGAGGCTTATGTTGGGGAGAGGAAGGAGAGTGGGGCAGAGAGGTGAAGCCCAAGCCAGCACTCGGCTGGAATGTTTCAAGGAAAAGAGGAAATGCCACCCCCTGTAGGGCCCAGATGGCTCCCAGAGTCTGGCTAAATTCTGGCACAGGTAGGGTGTGCCTACTAGCGGGCCAGCACCTCATGGGTTAAGGGCAGGTGCCAGCTTACCTGCCTACCACACATGCTTTAGTGGAAACAGGGCTGCCCATGGGTGCCAAATGTTATCACCACAATCAACCGCAGCCCAAAGGACCAGCAGTGCGACCTGAGCTTTCCATTAGTAATGAGACTCCACAACGAGGAACAACCTAATACACCTGAAACCCAAGGCAGACACCCAATCCTCGGGACCAGGCTGGCTCCAGTTACCAACTGCAGGTCCCAGGAGTGCCCGGCCCCTCCCCCGGCAGGAAACCAGCATGTGCGGGCCATGTGCACCTCCTGTGGGTTGTGGCAGGAGGTCACCTCTAAAGAGGTCACCCTGTGCAACCCTAAAACACCAAAAAAGACCCCATCCACACAGGGATCACAGGAGCTGATGTGGTTTGGCTGTGTCTGCACCCACATCTCGTCTGCTCTGGTGTAGGCAGAGATGAGGGATCAGTGCCTTAGACTAAGGTCAGTGTTGCCTGTTGCTCAGGGTCACGGCTGGTATCAGATGATGACTATCAGCTCAGCCAGGTTGCTGGAGTGACCCTCCAAGGTGACCTCAGCAGCCAGGGCACTCTGGAGTAAGGAATCTCTAGGGCTCGAGCAGTAGGGCCATCCACTCCCTCCAGCCTCATCATCTTAAGGGTCTCAAGCCGGGCATGGTGGCTCACACCTGTAATCCCACCACTTCGGGAGGCCAAGGTGGGAGGATCACTTGAACCCAGGAGTTCAAGATAACTCTGGGCAACATAGTGAGATCACATCTCTACAAAAAATTTAAAAATTGGCTGGGCACGCCTGTAATCCCAGCACTTTGGGAGGCTGAGGTGGGAAGAACACCTGAGGTCAGGAGTTTGAGACCAGCCTGGTCAACATGGCGAAACCCCATCTCTACTAAAACTATAAAAATTAGCTGGGTGTGGTGGCAGGCACCTGTAATCCCAGCTACTCGGGAGGCTGAGGCATGAGAATCACTTGAACCTGGGAAGTGGAGATTGCAGTGAGCCAAGATTGCACCACAGTACTCCAGCCTGGGGGATAGAGTGAGACTCTGTCTCCAAAAAAATAAAAAAATAATAAACAGTCCCAAGAAACCAATATTACCTACAACTTTCCTCGGGGAAGAACAGAAGTCCTCTAGGAAAATGCATTCATTCATTCCTTCATTTATTCATTATTCGAACTGTTATTGAATGCTTCCTATGTGCCAGGAACTAAGCTAGGTACCAGAAGACAAGCTATCAACAGTACAGAAAGATGTTGTCATCAGAGCTTCCACTCTAGTGGGGAAGACCAATACAAGTGATGAATACCTAATTTCAGAGAGCCATATGTGATCAGGAGCAATTGCAGGATAAAGAGTAGAGAGTGAGAAGACCCTTGTTGGCCAGAGGAGACCTTTTAAAGGAGGTAACGCTTGAGCTGAGACCTGAATGACAAGAAGGTACCAGCGGGGAGATCCAAAGAATCAGGCAGAGGAAGCAGCAAAGATCCCGTGGCAGGACACATTTCAGTCACACTCACAGTTCCTTGGAAGAGAACAGGAAGAGGGTCAACAATACTCTCTCCTCTGTTACAAAAGGGGAACTGCAGCAAGGCTCCTCCCTTCTCTCAGGTCTTGTGGGGACCCTCATGGGTGCACTTGCATCTGTACTGTTCACTGCATTTCTTCTAGCATCCAGCTTAGTTCCTGGAACATAGTCAGCATTCAATCGCACTTACACTTGTCTGGAGGCGCGAACCTGAAGAATGCACCAAGAAACCTCTCAAACCCCAGCAAGGCCAACTTCAGAACTCCCTGCTCCTATGTGATCCTGAGATCTCTATACATTGAATAAACAGCATGCGTAAAGCCCACCATCCCTGTGTACATAGTAGGTACACAGTAAGTATACTGAGTAGATAATCAGGATCAGTGTTCTTTGTCCCCCCCGCCTTTTTTTTTTTTTTTTTTTTT